CTTAGAGAGGGCTGAAAGCCCTATGAAGCGGTAGATAAGTCTAACTGCTATTGCTATTGCTATATTTCCCATGTTAGGTAGGTTTGTATTTAACAGCAAAGGACAAATGTGGTGACTCAACCTTATTACGGAGTGGAGGATTGATTTCTCAGATAACTTAAACAATTATAATTAACTGCAAGATATTTAATTTGATAAGATATTGAAGCTATTTAATAAGCTAGTAAGGTTTTCATTCCTAGGACAAAGAATTGCTTCAGGTTTTTTCCCCCCTTCCTCCATCCCAGTTCCTAGGTCTGTGCTCAGGTAAGGCATTCTACTGCTAGTGGGCATGCCAGAAATATGTAATTATTATAATCCTGTTAGTGGGAGTATATTAATAACCGTGTGTCAAAAACATTGCCCTTTATTCTCCCCGAGCTGGCTGCTATAATGAAGCTATGATGGCTGTGACTCACGATTCTGTTCTGGGGCCCAGAGAATTAACTGCCCCCCCCCAATTTTACCTGTAACAGAGTGCAAGGGCATTGGAAAGAAAAGATGCAGGGAGATTTCGTCACCCATTTAATGATTGCCACATAAACATGGGTACCTTGATATCCAAACATCAGCTGGCAGTACTGTGTGTTGTTGTTTATTCTTTATTCTAAAAGGCTCAAGATATGCTTTAGAAATAATTATGCCCCATAACTAAGATGAAAAACATCAACGGCTAAGTACAGTGAAGCCCCCCGCCAAAAGAGCAAAACAACCAGTGGAGCACATTATGTCAGTGAAAGAACAATAATTGGAGATTGTGTGAACCTGTGGAAAATTTTAAAAGCGTCTCGTGGATGTTTTCACAAGATGCTTTCACACTTATCAACAGTGTGTCCCTTGACACCCATCCAACCTCCTCTGTGATTACTACCACCACCCCAATTTACCTATGTCAGTTTCGTTAGGCAAGGAGGAGCATTTGCAAACAAAACCTTGATTTGCCCACGTACCATTCCCACCCCCGTTTTCATTCTGTTTCCTAAGATGGGGAAATGCTTCAAAAGTGATGTTGGAGACTAACACTTTTTAAACCGCAAAACAACTCCTGACTTCATTTGGTTTCATTAGAAGAATCCTTGATGGGGGAAGAGTTGGGGTAGGAAATCTGGAGAGAACCAAGAGAAATGTTGTCACAGCACAACATTGTCCAATTATGTGGTATCCATTCATATGCTACTCTGGCACTAGTAGGTGTTCCTCATTATAAGGGTTTGGGGGAACCTTAGCCTCTATCAAGTCTATCAGGTACTCAGTTATTTCAGTGTTCCCGCCCAGCAGTAATTCAAAATACATGTTCAGGAGCAGTGGTGGGTTTCAAAAATTTTTCGAATCTACTCTGTGGGTGTGGCCTCCTTTGTGGGAGTGGCTTGCCA